CGCCTAACCAACTGAGCCACCCAGGCGCCCCAAGTTTTTTTTTTTAAAGATTTTATTTATTTATTTGAGAGAGAGAGAGTGAGAGAGAGCATGAGCAGGGGGAGAGGCAGAGGGAGAAGCAGACTCCCCCCTGAGCAGGGAGCCTGAAGCAGGGTTCCAACCCAGGACCTCGAAATCATGACCTGAGCAGACGCTTAACCGACTGAGCCACCCAGGCACCCCTTGCATCAAGTTTTTAATGGGAAGCCACTGGCTCTGCATTTGAATCTATGAACCCTCTAATTCAGGAACTTTTAGCCTGGGGCTCACCCCTTAGCAAATCCTTTCTAATGAATTCTACAATCTTTGCCTCTGTGACATTTTTATCCAGCTAAATTGGTCTTATTCAGTCATTAATGAAACTTTATGTTATTAAAAAAAAAGTGTACAAGGAAGGGAAGGAAGGAAGATATATGAAAGAAATATGGCAAAACGGTAACATTTATTGATTCTAGCCAGTGGATAAACAAGTGTTTGTTACAGTGTTTGTTTTCTGTTTTGATAGATGTTTGAAATATTTTATAAGTTTTTCAAAGATATTAAAAAATAGCTTTACTTTCAGAAGCCCTCAGATAGAAAATCTAAGATTTGCCCTGAGGTGCAGTGGTATCTGAAATACTTACCATCAATGGGCAGGTGGTTCAGTAAGTCCTGAAAGTCCTCTTTCTCAAGCTGAATCCCCATGTTCTTTGCAAGGGTGTTCAGGTTCTTGACACTGACTTTTTTCCCTTAGGAAAGAAGAGGATGTAAATAATTCAAGTAAGTCCAGGGAGTAGAAGATGCTAGCCTTGAGTACGCATCCACTGTAAGTGCGGTGAAACACTGGCCATTTAAATGAACCCGGATAGTCAGTGTTGGAGTTGAGAGGAGAAAATTCTCCCTCAACATTGTGCTCTAACTTTTAACTGAACTAATCATGGATGAAAAAGAAGAATTAGGTAAGTCCGATGAATTGATGAAGATAACCAACGTAAATGAAATCAAAATCTCAAACTTGCTGCATATTACTAAGAATAACTTCCTCAAATGTAGTTATCCTGAAAGAAGGGTGGTGGGTTATGAAGCATAAGTTCAGTGTCACTGTACTAGTAGAATAATGGCATGGCGGGGCGCCTGGGTGGCTCAGTCGTTAAGCGTCTGCCTTCGGCTCAGGTCATGATCCCAGGGTCCTGGGATC